CCCAGGAGGCCTCCACCCAGGGACGGCCCAGAGGGAGACCCCTCCCAGGCAGAGGGCCCTCTGAGGGCTGGTGATGGGAGGGCCTGTCTGGGTCTGAGGGTCAGGGGGGAGCAGGGGGAGGGGAGGAGGGGCTGGCCAGCAGGCGGGGGAGGACGATGGCCTGCCCACTCCCCACTCTGGCAGGAGCACTGCTGGGAAGCCACGGTCCCTGGCGAGCTCTGAGATGCTCCCGCACTGGCAACAGGGGATTGGGCTGGGGTCCTCTCTCCCTCCCCGTCTCCTCTCTTCCGACGGGCTGCGGGCCTTACGCTTCCACCGTGTCCACCTCGGTGGGGCACCAGCCCCGGATCTCACAGGTCCGGAGCACCGAACTGTAGTTCACGCAGTGGCCAGTGAGCACCCCTGAAAGCGGGACCACAGCTGTGGGGTGGCGCCTGGCCCTCGCCACCCCCCGCAGGGACCCTGGCAGGTGGGAGAGGAGGAAAGGTGGGAACCAGGAGCCGACTGACCTCTCTCTCTCTTCTCTGGAGCCCCAGTCCCAGCTAAGTGGGGGCAGCCCTCCTTTCCTACATTCTGAACCCCAGGATCCAGAGGTGCTTCTTCCTTGCCTCCAAGTCTGCTTCTTCCTTGCCTCCAAGCCTGTGCTTCAGTTGTTCCCCCTAGAATGACCTCCCTCCCCTTGCTTACAAGGTGGGGTCTCACTCTGTTGCCCAGGCTGGAGTGCAGTGGCACAATCATGGCTCGCAGCGGCCTTGACTGCCTGGGTTCAGGAGATCCTTCTGCCCTAGCCTCCCGAGTAGCTGGGACTACAGGCAGGTGCCACCATGCCCGGCTAGTTTTTAACTTTTTTGTAGAGATGAGGTCTTGCTGTGTTGTCTAGGCTGATCTCGAACTCCTGGACTCAAGCAATACTCCCATTTTGGCCTTCCAAAGTGCTGGGATTACAGGCGTGAGCCACCACTGAGGAATGCCCTATTCGAAGCCACCTCTGTCCTGCCAAATCCTGCTTATCTTCAGGGCCCATCCAGGATGCCACTCACCTGGAACGAATCTCTCCCTCGGTCCCCCGCTCCCACAGTGCTGTGTATCTCTTGGACAGCACACCCACTTCAGGGCATGCGTCTGTCCCCATTGGTCCCCACCATCCCTAGATCGGAGCCTCTCCAGGTCATGCCACCTCCGTAGTCCCAGGGGGTGTGGCACCCAGTGAGCATCTGTGAATGCCAGCAGCGTTTCAAGGAACAGGCTGATTCCCACAGCCGCTCCCAGCGGGGCTCTCCCGGAGTCTTGATGCCATAAGGTGGGGGGGGGCAGGGAAGGGGCTGCACTCACCCCCGCCCGGGACGCGCTCGGGCCCACACTGGCTGTCTGACACACAGCGGTACTTCTCCTCATTCTGCGGGCAGACGGTTCTGTGGGTCAGAGGAGGACCCCGCCCGGCCTGAGAGCCCCTCGGCTCCCACGGCCTCCCCACGCCCGGCAGCCTCTGGAGGGGGAGGTCCCAGGCCACAGTTCCAGGGCCTCTCCCTGCCACCGCCCCCACGCCCACCATCACGTTCTCCCTGGCCAGCTCCACCCAGCCTCCCCTCACCTCGGGGCAGAAGCCTTGCATCTGGTTTTCAGTAACAATCATCTTGGTGATGATGACAAAGACAGAGGTGCCCTTGGGAGGAAAGGAAGGAGAGAAAAAAAGTGCCATCATCGCAATCTGAGGCAGAGGCTGAGAGTGTCCCCCCTCCACAGATGAGAAAAACCAAGTCTTGGGTTTGGTGATTCAGTCATGGTCACTGCGCCGCTGAGGGGCAGGGCTGGGAGCCACACCTGGCTCTTTGCACCACCCCCTACAGGGTCCTACTACCCGTCCATGTACACTGTTCCTCGTGACTGTCCTGGCCTGCAGTGGCAGGGCCTGGAGAGGGACCCCGCTGGCCTGATGTCTATCCTGTGGACCAGAGCACTCCCGCAACTCTTGGTGTCTGGGCGGCCACACTTCTCCCTGGAGTGGGGGACCCTACCTGGGGTGGCGTGACGTAATCAGACACGTCCATGACTCTGTTGGTGTACAGTCCGAAGCCCTTCACCTTGGTGACCACTGAGGACTCGATGGCCGTATCCCGCACCTGGTACGCCTTCTCGTGTAAGAACACCCACCTGGGGCAAAAGGGCAAGGAGGGAGGGGAGAATCCAAGGACCCACCAGCAGAGGTTGGGAGAGGGCTCCTTCTGGCCGGCATTAGCTCATGCCTGTGGGGAGGGGGTGGCTAGCCCTGGGTGGCCCTCGCTGGAGGCCTAGGTCAGGGTGAGCCCCCAGTTGTCTTAGAATAGTGTTTCTCCACCTTCCACCCCACTCTCCCGCCCCCCAGGTGCCTTTTTACTTTTTTATTTTTATTTTTTGAGTTGGAGTCTCACTCAGTCGCCCAGACTGGAGTGCAGTGGCCACTTCTGGCCACCGCAGCCTCGCCTGCTGGGCTC